GTGTGTGTGTGTGTGTGTGTGTGTGTAAGAAACAAAAGCAGTCTGGCCAACCAGCGGGGCAGCATAGGAGCAAATGTGAATTGTCACCCTTCCCCTCCCAGGACCCTTCTCTCACTCAATGAGCTGCTTCTCCAGCCCATGGAGCCCCATTTATTCTTCCAGGGAGGAACTTAAGCTCAACCTGGGAAATCCCAATATTCCTCTCCCCATGCCATCTCTTCCTTTCCCCTCTTCCCTCCATCTCTTCCCACACCCTCTCCTGCTGGGCAGGCTCGTTGGGTCTGTTTTTCCTAAGTCAGTTAAGCCCCACTGACCCACACAAAAGAGGTGAGTAAAGGGCTGTTTACAGAGGGGTGTCAGGGTTGAGGGAGCCCCCAGGGATCTTGAGGACCAGGGATGGCCACCCTGGGTCTGATGGTATTGGTGCCTAGTGAGTGCAGGGGGAGCCACTGCCAGAGCCTTGGCAGAGAGAGCAGGGTGGAGGTGAGGGGCAAATGCCCCACATCTCTCTCCTCCTACCCTCTTCCTTCCTGCTCATGACCCTAACTGGCAACCAGAGGACAAGGGAGTCCCTTGAGGCAGGCCATGGAGGACAGTCCCCCAGGCAGAGAGCAGGAGTGGAGAGGGATCTGGAGGGGCGGATGGAATGATCAGCATGGTTCTCTGCCTGGGATGATGTCCTGCTTGATGGTTCAACTATACTGTCACTGGCATTCTCAGTTCCCTGCTCCCTTGTCCATGGTACCCAATGCTAAATTTGCCCAACCATCTGTTTTCTGGGTTCCTTCTTCCAAGTTGGCGAGCATTGCCAGAGAAAACCGCACACCATGACAGGCTCGTGATTGTCGCCTTCAGCTGGGCCCTCAATGCTAGGAGCTTGGTGGTTCTTTCCCTCAGTGTCCTTAAGCCCCAGCCCGACCCATGTTGTATTTCACTGGGGAACAGACAGAAACTCACTCAGCCTCCCTTCCCTCCTCTTCCTCTTTCATCTTCCTCTTCCCCTCCCTTCATCCCTGACTGCTGGTCTCGGTAAAACTGGGTCTCTCCTCCCCAAGGCTGCCCCTTCACCTGCTGGGCTCTTCGCCCTCTCCCTGCATCAAGCACCTTCCCTTGGCCTTCAAGGATGCTGAGACCTGAGTCTTTCCTCTGGTTGGTGCCTCTGTCATGGATCTGTCTTCTTCCATCCACTTCCAGACTTCTGGAAGAATGGCTCCCTCCCTGTGTCTACCTCTTGAGTGGCCACTTAAAGACAGTGTCACCTAACCTACTGTGTGACCCCACTGTACCCTAAAATTCTGTTTAAGGCCACCCTTGGCCCCCCATTTGCCAAACCCCAGACTCTGTTTATAACCTCATTCTCTTATACAACTTCCTGTTAGCTGCCTCCACCTTGCCTTTAGGCCTCTTTTCTTGGCTCATCTTCCTCCGCTGGAGGTCAGTCTCTAGAAGCTATTTCTGTCATTCAGGCCTCAGAGCCCTCTTCCCATTCCCAGCCTGCTCTCCCCAGCTAAGCTGCCTACACTCATCTCCATTTCTCTCTGTTCCTTCAGTACTCTGATCAGATATCCTGCTGAGGAAAACCTTTTGCATGGCCCTCAAGGGTCTCATGCTGGCTGTCACCTAGGAGTTCTGTGTTCCCCCACTGATAAGTGACATTCCAGTCCTCAAACAAACCATTTACCTTCATGCCTTTGCACATTCTGTTCCCTCTGCCTTAAATGCTTTTTCCTCTTTTGGAAATAAGTTGCAATTCCAACTCTAACTCCAAGACTGTGGGCAGATGTTATCTTGCCTGTGAGGTCATCAGACTTCCACTGCAGGAGTACTGGGCCCGCCTCCAGGGCAGGGGGGTTGATTACATTGCAGGGTAATTAACTTTTTGCATGTGTTTTGCATCTAGGCAGTCAATGCCTGATAACTGCGCAGTGTTTGTTGAATGACTACTGAATGGATGAATACATTACACAAGATAATTGTTTTTTGTTTTTTTTTGAGAGAGAAAGGGTGCAAGTGAGCTAAATGCAGAGAAAAAGGGAGAGAGAGCCAGCGAGAGGGAGAATCCCACAAGGGGCAGAGAAAGAGAGATAGAGCTAGGTAGAGAGAGGTGGAGCTCACCCAAAGCTGGGCACGAGCTCACCGAAGTGGGACTTGAGTTCACCTGATGCAGGGCTGGACCTCACGAACCATGAGATCATGACCTGAGCCGGTCAGATGCTTAACCGACTGAGCCACCCAGGCGCCCCAAGACAATTATTCCTCTGTCTTTTACTGTACCTGCTTATTGAAAATTTTGGTCATTTTGTTACATAATGTCCTTGAATAAGATCCTACATGAGAAATTACTTTTGTAATTGAAAATAAGGAAAAAATGTATTTCTTTCTACCATAGAGACTCTATATTACATAGAGAAGCATGTAGCCTTTTGTGTCTACCCACCCCCCACCACACACTCACAAACACACTTTTTTTTCTTCCTTTCAAGAAGCTCAGAGACAGGTTTAATATTTATTCACATAATCACATTAGCGCTGCTGGCCCAAATGTGGCTCTTCCTCCTTTTTGTGGTTTTGAATTTTTTTTTTAATGTTTATTTGTTTTTGAGAGAGTGAGGGGGGTGGGATAGAGAACAAGGGAGACAGAATCCGAAGCCAGATGTGCACTGTCAGAGCAGAGCCCCACGCAGGTCTCAATCTCACAAACCTCACAAACTGTGAGATTATGACCTGAGCTGAAGTCGTATGCTCAACCAACTGAGCCACCCAGGCACCCCTGTGGTTTTGATTTTTTATCTCTTCTCCAGTACCTCTTTTGAAATCAGATAATGGGTGGGGCAGCTGGGTGCCGGGTCAGGTCGTGATCTCAGAGCTCATGAGTTTGAGCCTTGCATTGGGCTCTCTGCTGTTAATGCAGAGCCAGCTTCAGATCCTCTGTCCCTCCCTCTCCCTCAAAAATAAACATTTTTTTTTAAAAACGTTGAAATCAGATCATAGAGTATGGAGGAAAAGGTATACACAATGGAGTCGAGAATCATGGGCTCAGATCATATTGTGACTAGCAGCTCTGTAACTGGGGCAACTTAACCTATCTGAACCTCCAATTTCCCATTTGTAGGGTCCTTAAACATGATTGAATTACAATGTATATAGTGTATGTAGCACCTACTAGATGATCAATAAAAGATAATTACATGAAGAAGCAGCTATAAATGAATAAAATGATTGAAAGTGTCACTCCAGGTTGGCCTTTGGAAGACTAAGCACACACTCTCCTGGGAAGGAACAAGGCCAACTTGCCTAAAGCCCTTCTCTCCTGGGTCGGTCCCATCCCTAGGGTTACTATTCAAAGGACTCTTGGGAACACAGCTTTTTTAACCAGGCTAAGAGATCAAGTCACAAGGAGTGGGCACACACAACATGTGGTCTCTCTGAGCAGGACCTGAAGGAACAAAGATTCTGGAAGGAGAAGGAGACTGGGCCAGTGCTGGGCGGGCTTGCCCAGGCCCCCGAGAGGCCCTCTGGTGGAGTCCCTGCACCACCTGACGCAGCTCTGTTGGCCAAATTTCCTTTTCTCTCCTTCCAGGAGGGAGCCTCAAGGACACAGGCCTCCACACAAAGAAGTGAGAACAGCAGGTTCCTAAAGCGAGAGCAAAACCCTGGAAGACACGAGGAAAGTAGCAATGAGAGCCCTGGGTTTAAATGTGGGCTCTTAACACCCCAGTGTATGGCCCTGAGCTCGGCAGCTGGCCTCCAAGCCTCAGTTTCTTCTCCTGGAAAATGAGTAGTCAGCACCCTCGAGCCTGCAGTGAAGATCAAATGAGCTAATATTGGTGGGAACATTCGTATACCAAAAAAGTATTAGGTTAGTGTTTTCAACTTTGCTCGGGGCTGGATCTGTCTCTTCATATTAAGCTTTCAAATGACGCTCATTAAAATGGATAAACCTATGTATGTTTAAAACATTTAAAATGGCAGACATTCTCCAAAAAACAGGAAGGTGTTCAGAAGGGATCCTTTCAATCTCTTCAATATCCCTTTTAACAAATGGAAGTCAGATGCCTGAATGGTCCCAAACTTCTAGAGCTGATCAGAGGAGGTAAAGGTCAAGAAGCCTTGTTGCTGGGAAGGCCTTCCAACACACCAAGGCCTCTGCCTTCTCTCCTTCATTTTCTGGCCCCAGAAGAGGGTCTCTCCCTCAGGGTGTAGGCTTAGCCAGGGTGCCACCGGTAGCATTGCCCAGCTCAGCTCGGCTCAGCTTCACCGCCCTCCTGCCTGGAAAACCACGCAGGAGGGTGATTAATTAGCTATTCATGATACCTAATTAAAAATCAGTTCCCCAGAAGAGTAGGATTTGGTTTTAATTGATGACAGGGCTGGCTGCATATAAAGAGAACTACTGTGTGTTAATGGCCTTGCTCAGGGCTAGGAACGGAGTCGGGGCTCAACCAGTGTGTCGAGTGTGATCCTGACCGGCCGACAGGCCCAAAGCACACACACAGACGCGCACACTCACACACACTCAGATACACATGCCCAGGGCATATATGTTTTCAAAGCAAAACATGGTGAATAATAATCACGGATGGTGGTTATAAGGGGTGGGCTCTCAACACACAACGCATGTAGTGTCTTAACTCGGGAAAGATCCCGGGTGGTCTGACGGTGGAGAGGCCACGGTGGGTTTAAATCCTGGGGCCGGCCCCTTCCGTCCTCGGGCCTCGGTAGGAGGCCCTTTCCCTCTGGGCGTCAGTGTCCTCATCTGTATGGAAGCCCTGGTCCCCAGGTGAGGATCCCGCGGCTTACTTACTGCGCCTAAAGTAGAGGCCTCAGAGCCTCCCGCCTCGCCCCAGGGAGCACCGCCCACTCTTGGGCTTCCCGTGCCGCGCTTGGCGTGCACGTGGGTGTGCACGTGGCGGGGGGTGGGGCTGGGCCCGCTGGGGGGCGCCGTCTGCGCGCGCGCCGGGGTGCTGGACGGCTGTTGCCTGCTCAAGTGCAACCTCCGCATGCATCGTTTGGGGCGCGGGGAGACCCCAGCGGAACTGGAGGTAGGAACCCGCTCTTCTTCCCATCCGCGGCCCTAGCCATTCCAGCCCCACCGTCGCCGGCTTCGTTTCCCCCACTGGCCGCCCCCCTGGTCCAGGCCTGTGCCCCGGGCCTCCTACCCCTCCCCTGCTCGCCCAGTTAGGACGATCCCAAGCCCGCTGTCAGTCAGATCGGGCACAGCCACCTGCCTCCTCTTTTGCGCTCCTCATGGAGTTCTTGGTTACACACAGGTGCTCGCGTGTTCCTCCACCCGGGCTGGACCCAGGGCTGGCCCGGACCAAGACCAAGCCAGGCCCTTGTCTCCTGGGTGGCACAGTCACCAGGGCATCGTTTGTTGGGATGGAACTTTCTTCAAACTGACTTGAGAATTGGTTTCTGTTTTGGTTGATTTGGTATGTGTGTGTTTCCAGTGTTCACCAGGGCACAGAGGATAGCTGCTCCCTTTTTTTTTTTTTTCCCCAGAAAAGCTCTCTGTTCCCAGCCCATGCCTAGTTGATGGATGTGCAGTTTATAATACTGCAGACTGTTTGACTTTCCTCTGTGGAGAAAACCCATCTCATTTCATCTTTCAGAGTGGGAGCTGAGGACTTGCTAACCGGAGCCGCTGCCCTCACTAACATTCCTAAGCTATTAAATATTTGTTTAAAAGGACAGACAGCACGGTGTTAGGACTAAGTCATCTTGAGAAAAGCAGTATTCACAAAAACAGGCCTGTTGTAATATTCCCAGTTAATGTTGGGTCTTTTTTACCTCAAGACTCAAAGCATTTTGGATTCTGTAAGGATTTGACCGCATGGCTACACTTTAAGACAGATTGCTTTGTTTTTCTTGTATCGAGGAAAAGAAAAGAACAAAAAGTGGGGCAACGTGTTGAAATCACACTGTGGGACAGTGAGGGGGAGAGTGAGGGAGGTAAGGGAAGGAGGCTCAATGTTACAGGCTGGGGTTTGCGGGATTTAGGGAGGCACCCACCCAGCAGTGGGAAGGGGTAGACAGATGGAGTGCAGTCCCAGAGCTGGACCGGAGAAGAGGGAGCATGGTGGAACCAGATGGCTTCTTCACTCCTTAGCCTGGAAAGCACATCAGTGAGATTGAGGAGGAATAGGTCCTGGTCGGTTGGCTGGTTGGCTGGAGGAAGAAGACAGAAGTTTAGATGTTGAGTATGTCTTCTTCCCATTTGACTGTGTGGATGGCCTTTTGTCTCCTGCGTTCCTGTCTCAGCACCTAGCACACAGTACTTGGAGCAGGTCAGATTAGCCAGAATTACCGTTTTTGATTGATTCTTGGACGCATCTTGGTTCACATCTCAACACCTCTGAAGTTGAACTGTGTCTTCCTTTGTGTCATTCACTTGGCAGATTTGTGTCTTTCTTAGTGGTCATAGTCATGATGCTTGGGGTGCCTGGCTGGCTTAGTTGGAAGAGCATGCAATTCTTGATCTCAGGGTTGTAAGTTGGAGTCCCACGCTGGACGTAGAGATTGCTTAAAAGTAATATCTTTAAAAGAAGAAAAAGAAAGTCACAGTGCTCTTTAAATTGGTGGCAGCTTGAGCTCTGATGAAGTAGTGTCGCCAACTGTGACCTTGGTCCAGCAATTGCAGCTTTCAACATTGGAGATTTGAGCACCAAAGATGACATTGTATCACACAGTACCCTTCTATTGTCATTCATCTCCTCTTTGAAAATGCTAATGTTTTCAAGGAACATGCAGGAGGGAGTTGGTAAAGTCAGGAATGACAGGTACAAGTATGAAAAATGTATTACTTTGTGGGTTGGAGAGAGAAGAAATAGCTGGTGGATGTGTTTCCTTTCCTGGTGAAGTTGTTAAATTGGACCGCCGTATAACCACTGGTAGAGGGATACCTTTAAGTGAAATGTACTTTGCAGCAGCCATGCTTTGGTGCGCGCTGGTCAGGCAGCCCTTGCCCTTGAAGCCTTCTCCTGACCAGCCAGTCCGAATACACCTGTTGGGACTGTGGGACCCATGCTCTACCATCCACCGGAGGCTTGGTGACCCTGAGTACCCCCCTGGCAGAAACCTCCCACTGCTGTACAAGCCCCTCAAGGCAGAGGCCATATCTTCCCCATCCTTGGTGTTCTAGTGCTCGGCACAATGCCTGACACATCAGAGATGCTATGTTAGGTGTTGCTGAATGGAACTGTACTGGACAAGTTGGGGCAAGTTGTCTTCCTGGTCCTCCTGTCAAAGTCTTCATCTCGCAGAGACCATGTTCTGGGTGAAGGTTCCCTTCTCAGCCCTTGTTCTGGGTGAAGGTTCCCTTCTCAGCCCTCAGTCGTCTGTGAGGCTGCTCCGTGAGTTATTGGTTTTGTGAGCTAACCTGCGGAGACCGTATTTCTCACCCTTGGCTTGCAGAATGAGCTTTTGGGACTTAGTCCGCTTGTAAATTGGAACCTGCTTGTATATCAGCTCACTTGGTAACTTTGCTCCCTGAGAGCCTCGCTAGTTAACCCACAGGATATCAGGACCCGTATAGATTGATTGTCTCTGCTGGGTTTGCTGGGTAAGCAGGTGAGCTGGTCCCAGCCTAGAGAAAGCTAGAAAGGTGAGTGAGAATCTCCTGGAAACAAAAGGGCCAAGTTTATGTTCTGCTTTGTCTCCAGCGAAGACATGGGCTGAACCCCAGGGGCCCTCAGGATCGGTGAGACTTGACCCTGCTCTTTATTCCTGCCCTGGCTGACCTATGTGCTCCTTCTAGAAAGAGATGCTTTGAGCATGCAAAACAGCTTTTCTCAGTCCCCGCCAAGATGGTTTGGGGGTGGTTTGTGTAGAAGTGCAGGCTTTTGGAGAGTCCCTTCTATTTGGCTGACTCTCAGGCTCCCAGAGGGTGGTTGGCGCTTTGCTTCAGAATACTGTCACAGCCACCACCAGTTGGCCAGTTTTCTTTTTTTACTCTCTGACTTTGGGGATGTTTTTATGGCAAATGCCTGGTGATCTTCCAGATTTCAGTTCGAATTATGAGAAATCTTGATGATCACTGTAAGATTCTTGAAGAAATTTGTGCGTGTTAAAAACAAAAACTAGTTTTCAGCCATTTCCATAGAAATTATTTCAGGCAAGAATCACTAATGGAATAACACTGTATGTCAATTATACTGGAATGAAATTTAAAAAAAGAGAGTCATCAATGGATGCTGAAACTATGAAATGAAAGCGTGTCGAGAAACAGGATGTTTACATAATCTCAAAGCTTTTACCCCAAACACTGATTAATAACAAAGAGAAAAATAGTGATATTACAGTGGAGAAACCTGGCCTTAACCAAGTGATTAAAATTAGCAACAGCAGTAATGCAACAAATCACCATCATGTGCCTTCCTGAGAAGAACACATCACATCTGTGTATTCCTGTCCCAGTCACATCACCTGAATCTAATTATGAGGAAATGTCCCACAAACCCAGGTTTCTATAATCTACCAAGTAACTGGCCAGTACTTTCAACAGTGTCAAGCTTATACGTGCAAACACACACGCAAACAAGATAATTAATGGTAAACCAAATATAGTGAAATGTTGACATGGAGGAACTTTGATAAAGGGCATATGGGCTTTTTTTTTTTTTTTTTTTTTTTAGTTTATTGATTTATCTTGAGAGATAGAGAGAGAGTGAGCACAAGCAGGGGAGGGGCAGAAGGAGGGAGAAAGAATCCCAAGCAGGCTCCTTGCTGCCAGCAAGGAGCCAGCATGGAGCCTGTCATGGGCTCAAATAGACGAACTGTAAGATCATGACCTGAGCTGAAACCAAGTGTCAGATGCTGAACCAACTGAGCCACCCAGGCGCCTCCATATGGGCATTTTTTGTATTTTTATAATTTGGGGTATGTCTGAAATTTTTTCAAAATAAAAAAATAGAAGACGTTTTCACATTTTTTCCGATAAGAATTATGGATGTGAAAACAGATAAAATATCCTATGTGTACTTGGCAGGGAGAACTTGATAAATCTAAATGGTTTTTGTAGTATGGTAAGATAAAAATTTTGTGTATCCTGGTAGAGAGCTAACAGAAATGAATATTTAAAAATTTTTTTAATGTTCTATTTGTTTCTGAGAGAGAGACAGCGTGAGCAGGGGAGGGTCAGAGAGAGAGGGAGATACAGAATCCAAAACAGGCTCCAGGCTCTGAGCTAGCTGTCAGCACAGAGTGCGATGCGGGCTCGAACCCACGAAGCGTGAGATCATGACCTGAGCTGAAATCAGACACTTAACTGACTGAGCCACCCAGGCACCCCCAGAAATGACTATATCCTTCAAAAGACTTATAAGAATATTCATAGCAGCTTTATTCATAATACCTGAAATAAGGAACAATCCAAGTGTCCATCAAAAGGAGAATGGATAGGGATGCCTGGGTGGCTCAGACAGTTAAAAGTCCAAGTTCAGCTCAGGTCATGATCTCACAGTTTGTGGGTTCGAGCCCCGTGTTGGGTTCTGTGCTGACACCTCAGAGCCTGGAGCCTGCTTCATATTCTGTGTCTCCCTCTCTCTCTGCCCCTCCCCTGCGCGCGCGCGCGCTCTCTCTCGCTCTCAAAAATAAATGAACATTAAAAAAAATTTTTTTAAAGAGGAAAGTGGATAAATAAGTTGTGATGTATTCCAATGATGGAGTACTATACAGCAAAGAAAATGAATGGAGAACTGCAACAAGCAACAACATGGATGATCTCACATGCATGATGTTGAGCAGGTTATAATCAGACACAAAAGATCTCCAAATATATAATTTCCCGCATATAAAATTTGAAAACAGATGAAATAATTTATGGTGATACAGGCAGAATATTGTTACCTTCGGGGGTTATTGATTGAAAGAGATATGAGGGATTCTTCTAGGGTGTGAGAGATGTTCAGTATCTTCATCTGGGTCATACACATGCATACACACACACACACACATACACAAGTTGACCCTTAAATGTATGAGGGTTGAGGCATCAACTCCCTATGCAGTAAAAAATTTGCATAGAACTTTTGACTCTCTAAAA